GAGGGAGAAGAAAAAAAGGAAACCAGCACAATTAGATGAACATGCACATGACAACTGGCAGGGAATCATTTGTTACTGTTTTAATCAATCCACTATCAAATAACCATTCCCATGGAATACCTTCAGAGAAGCAAACAGGCAGCAAATACAGGGACTCGACAACACAGTTATCTGCTGTTTGTTGCTTGGATATTCACAAGTCACAAAATTCTTCCATCTTCAGATTCTATTTCATTTGTTATAAGAAATCATAAATAATTGAAAGTCACATGATAAATTATTTAGCTAAGTGCACAGTTTCCAAGGAATCATAGCATGAGTCTGGATTAATGGTATAATGCAAGTCAGATGCCAAAGTTGAGCTGACACCCCTACAATTCCACACAGGGGAGTAGTCCAGGGAGTATGGCGCTTCTCAGCATGTGCTTTCCACCACAGGGACATAAAGCACCTTGTGAATATTTATGAACTAGAAGTTCCTATTGCCTACTGTGTACTTCAGCTGCTATGAATTAGTGAAATTTAAACCAGAGCTTCACTCGGCACAATTGAGTAGGACATTCATTACCTATGAGTGATAGAACTGCCTTTCAAGACTACTGCTGAACATAAATCTCTTCTATATAACGCTGCGTCTTTAACCACAATTACCTGTTCTAATTAGCTGATAATTTACTTTGGGAGACTAGGATAGAAGTGACTCAGGGATATTACTGTTTGCTGTAAAAACGCTGGTACAACCCTGCTACTTCCTTTATACAAACCAAGTTATCTGATTATTTTGGGTAGCTCTAGGCCCATGATGTCCAGGAACAAAAGAAAGCTCCTCAAAAAGTAAGACGGATTTTTGCAAAATCATATGCAAGGCAAGAATCTGGAAAAAACAACCAAACAAAAAAACACACACAAGAAACCCCACAAAAATAAAAACCTAAACGACTAAACACCTGCATACATCCTGCATTTTGAAGGTGTTTTGTAAATTCAAGTAAATTATCTCTGAATGTACCAGTAAATTAAAACCTGTAGACACTTTATTTACAAAAATTCATCTAAACTGTTCCCCAGACACAATATTGAAATGCCTTCTTTCTCTTTGTCATTAGAGATTGTGTTTGAGCAGATCATAGAATCATAGAATGGTTTGGGTTGGAAAGGACCTTAAGATCATCCAGTTCCAACCCCCTGCCATGGGCAGGGTCACCTCACACTAGACTGTTGCCCAGGGTTCCATCCAGCCTGACCTTGAACACGGCCAGGGATGGAGCATTTACCACTTCTCTGGGCAGCTCCAGTGCCTCACCACCCCCACAGTAAAGAACTTCTTCCTTATATCCAACCTGAACTTCCCCTGTTTCAGTTTGAACCCATTGCCCCTTGTCCTATCACTACAGTCCCTGATGAAGAGTCCCTCTCCAGCAGCCTTCTAGTCCCCTTCAGACACTGGAAGCTGCTCGGAGCTCTCCACGCAGCTTCTCTTCTCCAGGCTGAACAGCCCCAATGTTCTCAGCCTGTCTTCATACAGGAGGTGCTCCAGCCCCTGCTCATCCTTGTGGCCTTCTCTGGACTTGCTCCAACAGCTCCATATCTTTCTGATGTTGAGGACACCAGAACTGTACAAGGTGCTCCAAATGTGGTCTCACGAGAGTGAGATCCCGGAGGTGGCAGTTTTATAAGCCAGTACTGGCTTGATAACTACTGAGCTGCTGGTACTTTGCCAATAAAATTGGCACTGTATTCACACATGGGTGTGACTTGAATTTCCCATCAAATAAGATCTAATAATCTCCAAAGCATTTACATACTATACATTAGCAGAGAACTGAAGGTAGGTAGTAAATACCAATCATCTCACCGGTGCACATGCTCAGGGACCACCATGACTTGACCTGTTTTTCTTGCAACTGCTAATAAAGGAATACAGAGGGAAAATATAAATATTGGAGGGATACGACAGGGAAGGGAGAACCTGTAGCTGCAATTAGAGAAAGTAAAAGAGGGAACATTACAGAAAAAGGAACATTGTCACAACGTGTGGTAAAAAAGTAGGACTTAATGGAACTGAAGATGCAAGTCTACAGGAAAGTAGGCATCCTTCCTGTCACACATAGAACAGCTAATTTCCAAACTATAGCACTGACCCCCATGATATTAGGCTCTAGCTGAGGATTGAGCACCTACAGTGTAACTAAAAGTTATGTTAATATTTAGCAACATGAAGATATCAAGGAATAATTTTTCAAGTAGTGACCCAGTTACTCTGCACAGCCTCACTACATGAACACATGCAAATTGTTTAATCTCTCTGTTTAATGCCCATTTGGAAACTGGATAAAAATACTTCACAGCCCTGAAAAGTGCTTTCAGGCCGCAGAACAGTAAAGGTGCTAAATGCATGTAAAGAGCCTTCCAAAACAAAGTGTTCCATAGTGGGTATACATGGGTCTAGGCAAGTGACTGAGTAGCACTGTTTATCCTTTGCTAATAACATTAAATTATACAAATGTAGGCGCAACTTTACAGAAGAAAAAGAGGAAAAATGAACAAAACCACATAAGAAATAGGTTTTTTACCCAGAATAAAGCTACCATTTTTTCTTCTTAAAAGAGCCAAACCAAGAGTCTCTAAAAATTTGTGAAACTCCACTAACGGACACCTAGTGATGTGCATCCCCATCTATCATGCCTAAATTCAGTCCCAACCCTGAAAAAGAATAAAACCCACAGCAAATATTTGTAGGAGCATCCAACCCTTATTTGGACTCGAGTTACATATCAGCTAAATCACTTTGCAATTTGAGATAAAGATATGACAGAGCTCAGTAGAATAGAAAGACAGTGCCAACATTAAGGAATTCCAGGTTGATTTTAGTGAACATACAGAACCTGGCGCAAAACAAGAAGATTTGCAAACATCTAACAGGGAAAATACCAAATAAGACACAAACCAAGCCATCCTGTGTAAACAGGAACCAAGTAGCTTGCTTTGGTACGTCTCTTGTGTTTAACTCTTATATTAACAAAGACGGTATAAATTCTGACCATAGTTTCTTCCAAAACAGGGGGAAATTGATGATCTCTCTCCTGTGTGGGTTGACTAGTACATGAGAAACTTCTTTTGTAGTGAAGAGCCTCCCAGCTTCTGGCCTTTCTCTTTACGAGAGCATCCATTACGTTCCCTGCTTTGCTGTCTGTTTTCATGTAAACTGCAGGAATTTCTCTCTTTGATTCACAGAATCACAGAATGGTTTGGCTTAGAAGGGACCTTAAAGCTCATTCAGTTCCAACCCCCTGCCACAGGCAGGGACACCTTCCACTAAACCAGGTTGCTCCAAGCCCCATCCAACCTGCCTTGCATGGCCCAAATAGGCATCCCTCTCTCTCACCAGCTGAAGCAACTCTGTGTGTAACACTTTGCTCATGATGGCCAAGATCCTTGAGGGCTAATAAAGTATAAAACACGCCCGAAAATTATTTCTAAAATAAGGCAAAAGCTCTGCTTGAGCATACATGAAATTACAAGATAACTGCTGTCAGCCGCTGCATTAACTCATTCTGTAGACATTGCACTCATGGAAAATTGAAAAAGATAGCCCCAAACAGCTCCTGTACCAATATCCATGATGGGAATTTGTATTCTTATAATTCATTGCTATGCTCTTTCACAGCACTTTGTAGTAATTTTCAGGAAACTATCTGTGGCTAAGTTCATGCTGTATATAAACATTTATTTCGGGATGCTCTAGATCATCTCTGAAAAGCTAAAAGAGACTTCTACTTCTGTTGAGGTCATTTGGGACCTAAATATCTCAATTTCTTTTTTTTTTTTTTTTTGTGAAAGTGCTTTCAGGCAAGTAAAAAACAAAACCACCTATTCTTTCATTCCATATATATACGTGCTTCCCAATGAAAAACTGAACAGAAGCAGTAACCAGTACAGTTTCATAAAAGCTTATTTTCCAAGTTGAAAGTAGTGTTGAGAATGTGATTTCTAGTATATTTAGCCACCGTAAGAAACAAAAGTATTTTTAAATAGAAGAAAGTGTCTACACTTTATCTAGTTATGGTGCCTGAGCTTCCATGTTCACCTGGGCCAGTATTTTTGTCACCTGTTAGCAGTAAGTGATAAAAAGTTGTGGGAATGTGCTCATCGACCTGCATTTGAGATGAGGAATAAATAACTGTGATACGCAAACACCCCCTAGTGATGAAAGGATGAACTACAGTATTGCACTAGCACTTTGGCTTGTTAAATCTTGTAACAAAAAGAGACTGACAAAAAAGAATATGCCATCTGATACTCACAGAGACAATAACTACTTAAAGGCAAAGCCCACATTCCTTGGTTTTGAGGTTTGGCAGCTTGTGCTATAGCAGCAAATGTGTGAAGACCCACATTTCGCTATACTGTTAGCATTTTAATGAGTTCTAAGAATGAGAAATGATAGATTATAAAGTATAAAGCTTTAAGCCTTTAACAAACGACTTTGTTACAAAGTCAAGCAGCAAATTTTTGAAGCCTCTCATATACCTTTGCCCTGCTTCTTGCCAGGACAATGACAAAATTTACTTCTGTTCTGAGTAAATACCAGGGTCTTTTCCACAGTGTATATCTTAGGTTAGCAACTTGTTCATGGTGTGACACTGGGGTATGGGTAAGTTAAATATATTTTTACTGGTTTTGAACTTTGTTACTATGGAGATGAGCGTCTGAGATTTTCCTACCTCCACTCTGCCTTGCACAGGTAAATTAAAAAGGACTAACAGAAAAGCATAATAAGATAGACATGTCAGATAAACCATTTTAAGCAACAGATTCAGCTGAAATGTTGAATTTGCATAAAGTCTGCACCTATCCTATGTCCTCCCTATAGTTTAACAGTTGAGTCTGCAATGTAACGCCAAGCTGAGATGAGACACAAATACAAAGAAAACCTCTACTACAATGCAAGAAGTATGTTCCAACCATTTTTATCTAAAGTATGTGAAGAGTTTACTTACAATTCTCCTTGTTTTGCTTTTCTGTCAGAAACCAGATACACATTTCCAAAGCTTCCATTGCTAAGTTTCCTCTGAATAGTGTATCTTCTAGCAATCATGGCATCTGAGCGAGCAGAATTCAATCTGGCAACACTGACATGCTTAGCAGTTTCTTGGAATTTCAGCATTTCTCTATGTAACAGAAACCACACAAATTTCTCTAGAACATAGCTTTCCAATCCTTTAACTCTTCCATGGATGCTCACAGGAAACACTTGAAACAAACAGAAAAAAAATCAATTTGTCAATGTATCATTCTTATTAAAAATCTTCATTTAATTCTACGGCAGTGCTTACAGTGCTCAGCTTCTAGCAGAAGACAAATTAAATAGGAGCATTAGTTGTTAAGATGTGGGCAGCAGACTTGATAAAGGAACTGTAGATAATGTAGACAATGATGTCAGCTGCCCTCTCAATCAACCTTAAAAGAATTAACTGAACTGATAACACAGGAGGAATTAAATGCAGGTGCTTATACATTAGTTTATTTAAAAGATTCAAGTGCTGTTTGCAGACACCTACACCTGTATTTCACCTGACAGTTCCTCTAGCTATGGCACTCTTCCTCACCACCACAGTACCTGACACCAAAAACATCTGTGTTTCAGGATACAAGTTTGTTTGTTTGTGTTTCATGACTGATGTATATACTGAAGCATAATCTCAACTTGTAATGTGAATCACTCCCATCAATAACAACAAAGCTGTTTTCTCTGCTCTTCCATTTGCCCCTCAGATTTCACCCTCTGTTTCAGTGCTGACCCCACAGCTTCTGTGTGAATCACCACTAAAACTAGAGTTTCATGGCTGCCCACGTCTGCAGGCTTTCAGTAAAACCCAGTTGTGCCAGAAGTTCTTCATTTCTCCTTTGCTGTAATAATTCTTTCTTGACACACCTTTCTAGCAGTTTCACCTTGATTTAGAATTCTTGTCTAACTGAGGTCCTCATTATGCAAACATAGGAACCACAAAGGCCAACCTCTAGTGTTTGTGTGCCTTCCAATAACTGAGCATGAGCTCTGAATAACTGTTTACTCAACCTTCTTCATTCCAAATGATAAAGGATAGGTATTTTGCTGCGCATGATTAAACAACATTGCTTTCATTACTTTGCCTTTATATAATGCTACCTGCATCATTTGTGCTTGAGGATCCTTTGGAACAAATAAAGATGCTGCAAGATCAGTGCGACGAATACTACTATGAGCACTGTCTGCTGCAGTGCTGGGTTTGTTCACCATAGCATTTTAACATCAAAATGCTGCTTCTTGTTTTTGAAGAGAAGTGACAAATTCATTCATTTTAAAAGCTGTATAACTGCTGGATCCACGTCACTGTCTTCACTTCCTAACAAGCACAGAGCCTAACTGGAAGGTACAAATTTGTATCTTAAAACAACATGTACGTGCAAGAACCTATTTTAATATCCATCTCCTGAGCTGCTGTCACACTGCACCAAGGAGCCTGATGTTGCAGCATCACTATATTATGAAACACAGCCAAATTTTAATTACTATCTTACCAGTGATACAAATCCTGTCTGCTTTGGAAAAAAAAGCACTCCTGAGGTTCTGTTTCTGTATTCTTTTCCAGATCCTAACAGTGACTAAAAGTTTGAAATGCAAATGTCAGCTAGAAAATTACTTCTTCTGTAACACCAAATCTGTCTGAAGAAGCATAAATGGATCACATTGAGGTGTGGGGGAGGGCAGGAAGATGAGCCCCATAAAACAGTACACTGCCAGTTCTGGAAAGTTTGCATATTTTCATTTACTATTCTCTTCTCCCAGGAGGTTGCTGGTTTATGGATGGCTTCATAAATTCCAAATAGAATAGCTTTGAAATGCATAACCTTTAGAAATGACTATGCTTACAAAAACTGCTGAGCTCTTGTTCCTTTTCTCTGAAGAAGAGTCACTTAACACTGCTCACCTTCAAATTTTCACACTTACTTGGGCACCAGGAATACATCACAATCCTTTACAGCACAATATCACACTTGAGATCAAGCAGCCCTTTGAGTCTAATCGTTGTGCTTTCTTTCCAACTCTACCTCTCACCTGCTACTCTCGATGCTTCAATTTCTCTCTGTATATAACAATTAATAATAACTATCATATAACTTTGTGAAATGCTTTGATATCTACTGCTGAATAGTGTTATATGCCAAGAGCCAGTGATTGCCCTTGTGGTGTCACAGGAACATTTTAATAGCACACAAGAAGTGGATTGCTGAGCCACCGCATTTGAAAGAAATACTCTGTAAGAGTCAACAGACTTTAGAGACTGTCTCAAGCATAAAACCAACTGATTCTTCAAGAATATATGAACTGGCACCTCCCCTACCTCACTCAAACTTTTAGCCCTAAACTTCCATGTATTTTTTTACCAGTGTCCATCTTATCCCACTGAGCAGATATTTCCAAAGCAGAAGTACATCAATTACTTGATTAAAGTTCAGAACAAAAAGAGATAACTCAAAGAAATCAACTCTCCCACCCCCTTGTCTTCAAAAATCCCAGTATAGCCTATCCACTAACACGCTGATAAACAGTTTACGTTCCTAATTTTCTCCCCAAGCGAGAGCCTGGCAGCTGCTGATGTCAAACTAATGCAATCACATTGTCTGGATCATTTCTTTTTCCTTCTTCTTTAGCTGGAACGAAATCTCCTTTATTCGCTTGTTTGCTTGTTCTCAGCTAAGGCAAAGCTGTTTTTCAGGGTTTCATAGCTCCACCTACACACACTAAGCACACAGCACCTCCACTTCTTCCCCCAACCTTCCTTTGCTTATGTAAGATCCTGGGTTTCATTTCCTCTAGGTTTCTTTAGCAACGGCTAAGGTACACTGGCACTTTCTGCCTCCAAGACAGACCATTCTTTGCCAGTCAAGCCAGTTCTATCAGGTTTTCT